CCGATGTTACATCATGTTCCCGATTTCCCATCATGTTCGTATTCCCTTAGAATAATATACGCTGCTGTAGGCATCCCCATTTTTCTCACCAGGCAAACACTGCACATGTGTACCAGGTGACATACTACTTCCTTTATGAATCGGTCACTGTTGTAGTGTCTCAAATGAGTGAAACCAGTTCATCATTTGCAAGCTCTTCACTTGCTCAGAGTCACAGTACGAGTGGCATTACTCGCATAACTCAGCATGAATTATGCCGAGTTCTTGTTTATATGTCCAAGCAAGCTCAACTTCCCATGTCTTCTGTGTGTCGTTTCTTCTTCACTCTACCTATCGACATAAACATATACCAGCTTGCGCAGCGCACCGCTTCATTCATCAGCTCACGCTGTACACCACTTTACTCACGAGCTCACGCTGTACCCCACTCTACTGGCTAGCTCGCGCAGTACATCACTGACTCACTAGCACACACAGTACACGACTTTACTCACTAGCTAGCGCTGTGCACCACTCTACTCGCTAGCTCACGCAGTACTCCACTTTACCCACTAGCTCGTGCAGTACACCACTCTATATACTCCCTAGCTCGCGTGGTACGCGACTCCACTCTTTAGCTCGCACCGTCATCACTCTACTTACTAGCTCGCGCAGTACACCACTCTACTCCACTTTAACTTAGGGTTGCTTTAGCAATGAGAAAAATGTTAAATCCTATATATAATCCACAAAATCAGTAAAACATTATCGTTTCTTTTTCTCACCAGTCGCCTTCCAGTTGTGAACAATGCTTCATGGCCACGGGTCACCGGCTACGCGTTTCCAGTGGTGGACATCAGACCGAACAGACTCACGATACTCAACGACAGCAGCAGAGAAGAACGCTGCAAGTTCCTCGAACACAGGCTACTGCTCTAACAGGATCCATCAGCGCGTTTTTAATGTTTTTTAATCCCAATTGAATGTACACTTTTTTTTATATACCTCACCTGTGAGGACATCGTTTCCTCCGCTTATTGTGTTCATTCGCTTTTAGCAAAGATGGCTGTCCTTAAATAGCACGAATATACCACAGGACTTTCGCACACGTCGTAACATTGTGCTTACAAAGCTTGGATCACACTGCTATTGTATTCTCAATCTAATGAAGTCTTTGGACACACGTATGTTGCTTAGTTGTTGGAGGGGGTCAATATGCGAGACTCATGATCTTTCTCACCAGCTGCTGCACAGATAATTTTCATTCTTGTTGTCTTTGATCATTGACACTTTATGGACTTATTGATTCATTTAGTCAAACTCATGTGTGTAATTATTTTTTCACCTATAAAATAAAAAATTTTTCACCTAAGAATAAACGCCACCATTCAAATAGGTGGTGTTTATTCTTAAAAAAAAAAGACCAAGAGCACTCTAAATAGAACTCAGTAAAGTGCAATTTTCGCTACTAATGACATGGTCGTGCCCGCTCCAACAATCTGTTGTCAGTCTGTTCCTGTACCCTAAATGCTTCAAATGTATACTGCGGCTAAAACCTACATAGCGCACTATCATCGGTATGCATGAACAAAATTTGTGTTTGGCTCTTGTAAATTGGTGCATATATATATATAGCAATATTTTGCGATAAAGTTGTACATTATCATTGTGCTTCCGTTTGGTGGCGTCCTGCTCATCTTTCTGCAACCTCTTTTCTCCCCTTTATCCCTTCCCCAGTGCAGGGTAGCAAACCGGATGTGCGTCTGGTTAACCTCCCTGCCTTTCCTTGTATCTTTATCTCTCTCTCTCTCTCTTGGTGGCGTCCTAAAGAGCAAGTGGCCCTTTATGGCAAAATGCGCACAATTCTGGACTGTCAGCAACGTTTCTTCTTTTTTTTTGTTCTTGGAATCTACTGAAGGCCTTAAAAAGTGCTCCAAGTCTTCCTATTTTTTGTGCTCGCTTAATGCCATGCCGCTTCGAATAACTTCTTCAGGGGATCCATCTACGCCCATTACCTTCATTTCATATGTCTTGGAGCGAAAGAAAGGCACGATGCTGTGGCGCTAAACTAGAAATGAAACACGAAGGGTCAAAATGAACTAGGAAAGTGGGCGTCTTACTCTTTATATTGCAGTTTTGCCCTATATCACGATGTATTTCATTAGGTACCAACTCACTCTAGAAAAACTAACCGTGGAACGCAAGCACAATTGCAAGGCAGTTACGACACAAATGAACCAGATTGAATGAAATCATTTTGGCTGGTTTGGTCACGACTGTTGACGCAGCGTTGGTTGAATAGATTTGGCTCACTTTGAGACAAGTGCGGCGTTTGGCTCATTATTTTAGTAGAAACGGCCGGCGCTCGTGTTGCAACTCGGGATATGTGCCATTTCGATCCCCACTATTTTAGAAGTTAAATATACTAAGGCGCGCTTTAGACTCACGTGAAATTTAACCTAGCTACGGTCTCTGACATTTCGCTTTTTCTGAAAAAAAAAATGCCACATGTATGTCACTAATATAATTATACGCGTCTTCAAGAGAAACTAATATGATTTTGTCTTATCTTTGTCATTGTTTTACCTGTCATTGTCATATTGCGTAGTTTATTATTGATTACTCTTTACTGTATTGCACAATTACTGTATATTTTTACTATAAAACTCATTTGGTAATATGATTTTCGAAAACTCTGTCACGGTGTAATAAGGGGCCTAAGGGGACCTCGAGCTGTCCCATTACTGTTTTTACCTTGGTCACCACTACTGTGTGATTTGCCGAAGTGAAACTAATAAAAAAATGAAATATATAATGATTCAGAGCCAAAATGACGCCTCGTGTAAAACGCATATTTTTTCGCGTTTATATTAAGTTCGCTTTAGGTTATGCCCACCCAGCCCTTCTCGACTGAGCGAGTGGCGATCTCAACGCTTTCCCGTCAGGAATAATTTAGGCGCATAGAGATTTACCTCGTCATTAATTATTTGCGATAGCTCCCCTCAAGGACACTGCGTCTACGAGGCCTCGGGGTGCTGCGGTCAGCACAGGCCGCGTATAAAGGTCCTCGGGCTGTATAGTACTGCCTTCCGTGGTGCGCGCCATTAGTACCAATGTAGCGGCATAATGCGTCGTCAGCTTTCGGTGCACGACCACCACAATACCCATTAAGTCTTGCTTCCCGGCACAGCGGTCCATTTCAGTGGGCACTTGTCTTTCGTGCCAGCCATACGATTTGCTTGTGTCATGTGGCTCATGCCAACTTCGCCTGTGTTCAGTTATACCCCATCGCAATTCAAACATTGCGCAAGCCGCCCGCCGGAACCTGTGGTACGCCAACGAGGAACGATCGATTTTTTTTTTCCTCCTTCTTGTGTGTCGTGCGAGCCTATGCCGTTCCATGGAATACAGAAGACTCTTCTGCCCCCTCCTCTTTTTCCCATGTGCGGCGCGAAGTGGGACGACCCGGAGCGAGCGAAATGGTATTCCGTATTTCGTGGTGCGGTATAACCCCCCCCCCCCCCCACTTCCCTTCCTGTGCACCTCAATATGCTATACGCAGAAGGGTCTGGTGTAGGGCATGTTGGTATACATAGCATGGAAAATTTACGAACCCACCCTTCAAAGACACGTAGACCAGATGAGAGGCTTTAACGACCGCGCACGCTGGGTCATTCCATTTCATGTATACGCGCCCCTACAGATTTAAAGCGTCACATATCCGCTCATTTGTGTTTCAGCTCTCGTTTGCAGGGATGTGTACGCTACCGATTGATTGATATGTGGGGTTTAACGTCTCAAAACCACTTCATGATTATGAGAGACGCCGTAGTGGAGGGCTCCGGAAATTTCGACCACCTGGGGTTCTTTAACGTGCACCCAAATCTGTGTGTACGCTACCGAGTATATGCGCTTACTCTGTTGTGCTCAGTGGCAATACTTGAACTTCTTCACTTCTGGTCGAATGTTGCTACGAGTATTTGAAGATGGCAGTGGCAGTTTCAGAGCTCCGTATCCCTGTTAATTCTCAGCTCACTGCACTAAGTTTTCGACGTCCTCCGTAGTGTTGCGATACTGTACGTGTCACAGGCGCCCCGTTGTCACCTTTCGCCACACTCTAACACAGTAATAGATTTCTAGCGTCGTCTTGCAATGCACTTCGATAGTTATTTCGCAATACTCATGAAGCACGAGATAGAGTGGATCTTCTTTCGAAGGAAATAAATGTTTGATAAAATAATAACGCTAAGCTCATGTTTACATCACAAAAAGCCTGTATGTGTGTCGTATTTCTGCAAATGAGCCCTTCTCCGTCTCTCTCGCTCCGCTACTGTACAGTTTGTGCTCATGACACACTTGCTGTTGATGATGACTGCCAAGACACCATGAATTGCAGCTGTATCGGAGCTATGAATGATGATTTAATTATTTCCTAATGACTAAAACACATGGCATTGTAAAAATCTACACGACATTTCCACTACACACGCTAGCTTGAAAATAAGACCCTTCTTATTTGGCCCATGGGGAGACTTTCACGATACGAGAGGGGCATAAAACGGGTGCGGCTTCCTAACCTTACTTGAGACTTCACCAGAAAATATATGCAGTAAAGCACACATATACCGAGAGCTATATACCACATCGCCGATTATTTAGCGGTGGAGTATTGCCCTGCCTACTTGGTAATAACTTGTGTGTAGCAAATTAAGATTTACACATTCAGTACTGTCTCGGGAAGTATGTGATGCCATTAACTGCAAGTTTTCACTGCGTCAAAAAATTGCACGACGTTACGTCGTTTTGCAAAGGGGCAATTTCTTTTTATTTGTGAGACGACACAGCATCTCGTAAATCTTCAATGTACGAACCGAGCGTCCCCACCCCCCTTTTATATAGCGTCGCACTAGTCGACAGCAAATTTCCGTCGTGCTGCCGGCGCACACCACCAGGCGGCAGCCGCACGGGTCTTGCAAGGCACGCCTCCGAGCCTCCGGCGGCAAAGCGAAAGTAGTGTCGGCGCGAAGCGGATCGAAGCGACGCGCTTTCGGATACGCAGGCTCGAGTTGAAGCGGCGATGCGCGTCAGGTGAAGTGGGTAGTGCAAGTGCCCGTACGCACCGCAACCTTTTTTTGCGGCCTGGTTGTTTTGTGTTCACCGAGTGCGTTCAGCAAGAAGCCTGCAAGGAGCAGCATGTGGTTCCGGCGACCGTCGAGAGCGCTGTGCCCTTTGCGGGCGGCGGCCACCTGTTCCACGGCGCCGGCCGTCGTCTTTTGATGCGAGGCCTCGACAAACTCGGTAACAAAGGTTTGGGAATGTGCCAGATCGTCAACAGTCGGGGATTAGGAGGAGACCAAAAGCCAAAGCGAACGTGAGTATCCCCTCGGGACCGACAGGATTTCGCCGGTCGTGTCATGTGTAAAACTGCTACTTCCAGACTCGCTATCCGCCTCTGACGCTATGCACAGAATACATAGCTTCTTACGTCGCCTTTGAATGAACGTTTGCCGAAAGGCAGCCAAAGCTAAAATTGCAGAAATTACCAGACAAGAAACGCTTCGTCCATCAATTGACGCAGGGTGATACGAAATTCAGGAACCCTTTAAATCACCCTTTAAATTGTATTCAAACCATATTTTGAGTCAGCGCTCTTAATCACTCATTGCTTGTGACTAATTCTATTCTCTAAATTTACTGCAGAATGTGTGTACACCACAAAAGTGCGAAATGGCTCAAAGAAACAGTGTTGCTCAAATCACATGTCCGCACAGGTCGGCCGTCGACTCCAGAGGTTTTCTTAGGAATTGAGAAAAAAGTGGGCTGGCCGTGCTGTGCGATTACCATACTGCTACACGTGCATATGAAAAACACTTTGTACACCCTCGTTTGAGCGGCAGATATTTTATACAAAGAAGGGTTGGCTTTTACGGTGGCTTGGTGAACGCATTATACGAGATTCAAAAGCGCGTACAAATGGTCATTTATGTACCTATTAAAATGACGAAGCTTAAAAGTATGTACGCATTAGAGGCCAAGTTCAAGATCTTTCCTCATTAGTTGGCTGTTTTTGCCAGTAATTTATCAAACATCAGTATTGTTTTGAATTCATCCTGACGAACAATACTAGCGCTACAGCTTTTTTCTGAACACTGGCCGAGATTTCCTAAAACTATCAATAGACAAAAATGTGAACATTAATTCGTAATAAAGACTAATCTTAGAAGCGTTCAATCAATACTCGTAAAGTATACGAAAATGTGAACTTACCGTAAAGGAGCACAGGCACCTTAATTTCTCAACAATGTATAATAAGTGATAGACACTAATGGCAGCAATCACCAGAAGAGGTTGAGCCCCTAGCAAAAGCGTGTCTTCATTGCACGCAGTGTTCAATGGAGGAACGATCACTCTTCAGTGGTGGTGTTGCTTTAAGAAAGTGTTACACACCAGTTCCCTACTTCTTCACAGTTCTGTATCAGTTTCGTACATCTGTACCGTATTGTGTCCGCTAAAGGTACCGAAAGAAAAGCTAAGTGCTTATAGGACACAGTCTTTTTGGTAATATATAAATACAGAGATTTAAAACCTTCAAACAACAGAGAAAAACCTGGTGATTCGGGACGAGACGCTTAACAATGAGCAATAGTACTGGACTCTGGAACACTTGTTTCACATCCTAATTATCTTTTCAATGAAATGCCGTAGTAAGTTATATCTAAGCATGTGCATTTCACAGCTATGTACTTAAAGTCGGTCAGCGCTGAGACCATATTCTATCGTTAAGAATACCAAGACCAGCATCAGTTTCAAAATCGGTCTCTCGTATACTTTCGACGAAATGCATTCACGTTGCCCGGCGTTGGTAATATTTCACAATGCTTGTCTTAAGTATAGAAAAAGAAGATAAACGAGACCTCCAATTTGGGGCTCATGTTATTGATGAATGAGTCAATTCGGCGTTGCGATAAGTACAACCAACATCTTCCTTGTGATACGGGCACGTACGGTAGTTGTGGCTTAAACTGTGTATATGATGGCGTAATCTTGTATAACTCTAAAAACTTCTCTCATGCATATCTGTTGCATTATTTTTGCTTACAAACCACTAAAAACGTGTAGGCTGGTACGTCGCCCGTAAAATTCTCCAAAATAACGGTAACAAATAATATGGGGCGTCTTTGTTTTACTTGCTAAGGTAATATATTTCAAATCTTACGTGCCAAAACTATCTGCTGCCCTTCAACGTAAACTCACATCACACGAAGTACACGGCTGATACAGATACACTTGTGTTATCACATTTTGCAAGCGTTGCATTGGTAGTTGCGAATCGGCGCCTACTCTGTACTCCTGTTTCTTCGCCCTCGTCCCGCCTGCACTGCTTCAACAAAAAAAGTACTTTAATGCGTTCTTAATTAGGCTGGTTAGTCAAAACATTCCTTGGGAAAACAATAAATTTTCTATGACATGACGCTAAACTCACAGACCCAATCGGAAACACAGTCAAGCCGCAAGACAGCGTACAGGTAAGGAATGAAAAAAAAAGGAAAAAGTGAAGAAAATGTTTGTAGGGAATGTTAACAGACAGTATTTCACAAGTTCCAGAATTTACTGCTACCACCACTACCCCTGCATATAAACGTATATATGTACTACTATCACAAAAGTATACCGACCGTTATCGTTGGTTAATCTTTGCTGCCTGCGCCGTCTAGTGACAAGACGCGCTTACTCTTGAGAGCCTTTCTCTGACGAACTCCGCCAGGGTAATGCTTTCGACAGCTATTTCGTCAAGCAGCTCTCTCGACAGCAGACGTACACATCGCGACTAGACGGTATGAGAAGCGATTACGGCACGCTCTAGCGTGGTCCGTACATTTTTGCTCGCGTGTGTACATATCGTCTTCAATCATGCAACACGCATACCTTGGGCGGTTCGCTCAATTGCGGGATCCGCCTACTTTTTCTCCTAGACTGCCGCCTTTTCTTGTTTCAATCTACGTCTTCAATAAATTTAACGAAATCATTCACAGGACTTTATTAAGGTGCTACAAGTGCGCTGTAATTAAGAAGATAAAGCAAGAAGGAAATACTTCTTCAAGCCTCTGTGTTTTTTTGGATTACACACTAATTTGGGAATATCGGACAGAAATCAACAGAGTGATAACAATGAAAAAAATCTCACTCTGTTGATTTGTCCCTCACGGTGATGTAGCAGTTACGGTGCTCGGCTGCTGGTCGCGGGTTCGATTCCGGCCGCGGCAGCCGCATTTGGATGGAGGCGATATGCTATAGAGGCTCGTGTACTACACGATGTTAGTTGGCTCAGAAGAACTCCAGATGGTCAAAATATTCGGAGCCCTCTACTAAGGCACCTCTCATAGGCATACAACGTGGTTTTGGGCAGCAAAATGCGATAGGTTATTATTGTTTCTTTTGGAACAGATGTGGGCAGATGTAACGATGGTCTGTCGACGCCTGCCTGTGAACAAACACATTGTTTAATTCGAGATACTGCAGTGCGTTTGTGTTTTTCCGTGTGTATGTGGGTGCATTGCACTTGCTATTCCGAAAGCAAGTGACCCTACTTGTAACAACGCAACTATAGCGCTCGCTCACCCCACAGTGCATTCCTTTCCGATCGTTAGGGGAAAAGGGCGGAGGCTCACCCGCGCGTGCTACATTCTCAACGGCGCAGTCGTCGTGGAAGCAAGGAGAGTGTGGAGAAGAAAGGCGACAGTCATTATCTGATGAGGCTTTCTAACCAAACAAAAGAGAAGGCAGCTGCGGGCTCCCACGACCCTGGCGAGCACTCCGAACCGACGGCAACAGAAAGACCGCGCCCCGAGGAATTCCTGGCACTTCGCGCATTATTGAAATCAGTTTCGTCGGGGCTCAAAACAAACAAGTGAGAGCACTATGCCCGAGCAGGCAAAAAGTAAACTAGTCGTGGCCAGCTCTTATAAATGCGCACGCTTGGAATTCCGAGCGCCTCGTTCTGCTAACTCGCAAATGCCGTGCGGAATTCCAAGGCGCCGAGTGAACGTTACGGTCGGAAACCAAAAGAAACGAGGGACCAGCCCTTTCCCTCTTCTGCCACGGCCACTCACTCTCGGGCTCGTAATGAGCTGCGAAACCGGCCATTAGCCCCCTTGGAAAGGAGCGTCCCCGGGTTCAGAACTCGCGCTTCTTTTCCGACTCCGGGTGGCTGGTGAGCCGGGTGTTTGCCAACTTTCTCTTCTCCTGCTAGAAGGAGAAAGTTGGCGCTTTCAACGACTGCGAGGGGGCACGAGTTCACGCTTCTGGAGTGGAAGCTCGGCGCTTTAGCGCATGACGTCGTAAACTATACCAGCGTAGCATCGAAGACGGGCGCTGAGTCGGAGGATTTTCTCCAAAGCCAGTAACAACGCTTGCAAGAAAACAGATTGAGTGAAAGACCTTAGCTCTAGGTTACGCTATTCATTATCTCTTAAAAAGTGGCAAAGTGAGGAGTAATAAGCGTTTAAAGACAGTATCGTAAACTACCCAAGAAGTGAAAGATACGCGACCATGGCTCTGCAAAACCACGTACGTGCACATTTATTATCCGAATGCACACTGAGCGACTGCACATTTCAACGTCACGTTGACGCCTCGAGCAAACGAGTAATAGCGGCGTGAAGGTAAGTGGCGAGACAAGTTGTAATATTTTAGCAAACGATGAGGGCGCAAAGCTTCAGCACGGGTAACAGTTGAACTAAACATTCAGCCTTCAGCTGTGATGATGCACTGTGTAGATTCCACGGTGCATCATCAGCACATCGGTACACGCATCGGAGTCGACTACGTTGCTGAACTGGTATTACGTCCAATTAGCAAGCAACTGCAGTCGGCACTCGCTCCAACTGTTTCATCCAGAGCTATTTCATAGATTTCCACTAGGTGTCAAAAGTAGTTATCACTGATTTTATTTCATCGACCCTTCGAGCTAAGCTGTCTTTCAGCTCACACATCTTAGAGCGTGTGGCCATATACCCAAGTCAGCCAGTGAGGCAATTTCACTGTTCCGCTGTTTGCTTAACGTTTCTTCACTTCAAACCAAAGGGCGTCGTTCTTGCTTCACACAGACTGTTCACTATGCGCTGATCATTAACAGCTTCCAGCCTTGCGCCACCTGGTATAGACGAGCGGAGCTAAGAGAACTGCTCCCAGCAAGTGATGCACACTGGCACGCTTTCATTATGGTGGCACCAAAGTGAGAAATTTTCCCGCGTCTCCACACGATTGAACGAAGAGCTCCGAACTTTTCATGACGGTACTGCAGAGAGACGTGGAAACTACCTGAAACAACTCCATCCAGTTTTCAAGTTTCCATCAAATCGATTTATTCTT